AAGCCAAAAATATTATAAATATTTTTATTTACAGATAAACGTTTGAACAGAATACACCCTGCCGGCCCAAAACAATGTTTTGTTTCTTTGTTATACAAAGTACAAACCCAGGTCTTCCCATGCTTAGCAATGCTAGGCAATACTTCTAACCGTTAAGCTATAGTATTAACTATACTTAACATAAGCGACAATTAAATTAGTCCTAAGTAAAATCTCTTACATCATCGCTTAGAACTCTCGAGATAAATCAAAGCGGTATCGCTGATTTTTATCGTAAATACAATTTATATCGTATTCTGCTATCAGAGCCTATTAGTTCAACTAAGTCATCTTAGGTACCTTATAAATTCTAATAATTAATAGGCCGAGTACTTATTGGTTTTGCGGCAAAGGCATAAAGGCAAAGGGGCAGTCGACTGTCGACTTATTTTGGTGTAGTATCTTTGGGAATCCACAAACTATTTTTTGATTCGAAATTTATATTTTGGGAACTTATATATTTATTTTTGGAACGTATTGGACTAAGTTGCAATGGAATCCACGCCCCTTTGATCATAAGCCATACATTGCTGCCATTGGGCTAATGATTGTTTTATTTAAAAGTTAAATTCGTATAGCTCTATACAAAGGCGAATTAAAACCTAATTTTTTGTATATTTGCATGGAAACATTCAAATCAGCTACAATGGGGCATTATTTTAATAACTTTATTCAAAGTAAATCGTACAACCTTGTATTCACTATTTTACGAAACTAACCTAAAATTGTAATTTTGTAATACACTTCAGAAGTTGCAGTAGACGTTGAAGGTTATATATATAATAAATATTTAAAAAGTCCACTGAATTATTACGAATTTCTACATTATAGAAAGTCCTTCAAAAGCCTTAATTAAGATCGAAGTTTAAATACTAGTGGTAGCCTTGTGTATAAATGTCTGCTACCGTCTAGGATATTTATAACCGGACACATTTTAATGCCCATTTCACTCATCGATTCTATTTACAGGTAAAAATGATCTATGACACAAATACTTATATTGTGCTGTAACTATCGGTAAATAAGTACATACCTAAGTTTTTAATAATTGTCCAATTGGTAAAGCTTGGTAGATAGATAGATAAATTTAAAAGTTGCGTAACTGTAATTATTTATTTTTTATATAAACCACTAATTTAATTATGACATCTTCTCTGACCACAAACGTTTGGTGGGAAAGGTGGAAGGTGGCATGGGTACTAGAATTTGGGGCCAAACGTATTGAACCAAAGGAACTAGATAACACCTATACAAGTCACTCTATGTAATATTTCAATAGTGGCGTTAAATCAAAATTCACTTGCAACTACAGATTTTCAGATTTTTTAAATGGCAAAGGCATATAGGCAGTCCAACATCTAAAGATGAGCTGTCGTCGTATTAATCGACAAACTAAATAAGAAGGCTCTTTCTTTCATGGGTGGTTCGTGACCCGAACGGAATTTCGATACGCTTGCCGTGTCAAGAATTTTCTGACGACGTCTATATTTCGGAGATTATAAAATACTAGCTGAGTCTTCCGCGTAGAATAGTTATTTTGGGCATCCAGACTGTTACTACGTCGCTCGCAACCCATCGTTCAGTTCCCGTTGTTCTTGCGAGTTCATCCGATACAGAAATCCACAGACTGACACCGAAACGCGAATAAACTTGACGGCTTTTACATCTGTGGACGGTTGTGGCGGGCGGAATTTCGATGTTCCTACAACTTAATATCGAGTCATGTTTGAGCAAAATTAAAAATGCTGGACCCAAATTAGATCGAATTGATGACCCGTTGATTAGGTATTAGTAATGCTTTGGTGCCATTACACCAATGAGCGCATCTCTAAAGCGATTTAGTCACAGCGAGTGGGGTGAACCGACAAAAATCATTTGGGAAAAACAACGTCTCTCGCAAAAGCAAAACAATGATCATACCTACTAATAGGGATTTGTCACGCAACCTGGCTAATCAGCAATCGGGACAGTACTGGAGCGCTACCCGACAACTTTTATTTATGCCCCACAGATATCAGCAAACACAGGGATTTTATTAGTACAGCTTGCAACATATAACTCATAGCGAGCAGGTAAATTATAAGCCTCCTTCGAGCTGATAGTGTACCTGTGTCTCGGCTCTTGTGATGAATGGAAGAGAGATTCAGTTGTTTAAATTTAAATTACACTTAAACTGCGCTCGCGACTTTACGAATTTAATTTAAGAATCATTTAAATTGTTTCTAAAATACTTCAAATGAGTACTGTGTAGTATAAGCGAGTACTTATTAAAAACACTTTTAACTGTTTGAAACGCGAAATGTATTAGTTATGGCTTCAGCAAACGTGGGGCCTAAATTAATTTGAAGAGTTAATACATTTCGCGTTTTAAACCGATAAAATAATACTTTTATCGGTTTAAAACGCAATATTTATATATAAATAAATAAAAAGCTATATACAATACTTTTCTTCAATACCTTTCTTTTTTTTATTATTCTTACCCCTACCCACTTATTAAGCCTTTTTTTATATTCTTTTTTTCTCTTGTACTTCAGTTGCCTGGAAGAGATCCTCTAATATGGCCGCCTTCTATTTATAAGTTAGTACGTAAGATTTTATCTTGTGTAGTTTATGTGTTAATTATAAGTAATAAAGCTGAAAAAAATAAAAATAAAATAAATAAAAGCTATTATTTCCCTTACACATACAATGTATTGTGTTGCCTAGGTATGAATCCAGGACCTATCTCGCTCAATGCAATGCTATGCAACATGTTTAACCATTTGAAACACATTGATTACACTTTTTGAAGATAACAGTGTTTTTCACAGGCAAGATAAAATGGTTAACTCCGTGATTTATGATATCTCCGGGATTCGAACACAAGACCTCGCCGTGCTAATACTATGCAACGCGTTTCCTATTTCAGGTATTTACTTAATTACAATTACTGTAAATAAAATTAATTTTTCCAAATTGACATCTATACATACCCATTTGTTTACCTTATTAAATAAAATTTAAAATACTACGCAAAAGAAACTCGGCTGTGACTCTTGTACTCTAACTAATTTTGTAATTATAGTTATTTACTTGTGAATAATCTATTCAGTAATTTTCCGCTGCGTAATTATGAAGCTATCCTTGAAAAATAAACTAATCATATACCAACGCTTTACAGTTTTCATAAATTCAGAAATGATATTACAAATCGTAGACGGATTTTAAAGTATTTTTCGCAGTCGTACAATTTCCTATATAACTTTTTAACGGTTTAAAACGCAAACATATTAATTAAGATAAGTAGTTTCGTAGTTAGATTTTGTAACAAAAAGCAAAATAGTTTGTTTGTTCCTAAATGACGATTCCTTCTACAAAGTATCCGAAACGTCAGGCTATAGTTAAAAACTAGCTATGTCACTAGAGACGTCGTCCGCGTGAAACAGTGATATTCGGCATCCGAATTTGTTTTTGCAAACCAAGAAGGTTTCATCTTTATAAATTAGTACAGATATAGATTACTTAATTAATATATTTTGCGTTTTAAACCGTTGAAAAAGTGTTATTTAGATGATTATTTAGATAAAATATTAGGCACCTAATTATAAATTTAATTAATACATTAAGTTTACTGTACTGTTAGCACTCATTAACAGATTGTCATTACGTAAATTTAATGAAAAAAATTTAAATTAAGCAAAACTCGCCGTCTCTAATATCTAACATTACCGACAGTTATAATGTCGACAATAAAAATATAATGTTCGCGTTAATTAAACTTAATTTTCCATACAATTTAATTTCCCTCCGCTTGCGTCATCCGCGTACATTGTTCGACGAATTAACTCCTTCTAGAAGCCATGGTTATTGCGTTATACATACTTCGACAAGCTTTTTCTGCCGCGAGTCAGCCGTCAGTCATTCGTTGCGTTAATACGAGTGCCGGCTCATGCGTTCTCTTTATAATGAATTGTATGGAATTCAGGATAGCGAGTCACATTTATACTGGTCGTCTTAATGCGAAGTTACTCGTTCCTCCCACCAAGACCAAGCCACTATTGGTCCGGTCCACGCAGACACCTCCTCTTGCACATATCTACTTCAAAACAACTCCATCCGCGCAATAAACAAGTCTTGAAGTCCATTGTCTCCGCACTATGCTTTGAGCATCATAGTTCTATCTATACTAATATTATAAAGCTGAGTGTGTTTGTTTGTTTGAACCCGCTAATCTCAGGAAGTACTGGTTCGGTGTTAAAGCATTTATCGAGATAGGCTTTCTTTTCAGCGACTATAGGAACGAAGAAACAGTGAGAAAACTGGGAAAAAGGGGGAAAATTAATCATCTTTCGGAAACGGTTCAAAATGCCCAAAAATAGGTTTAAAAGAATGACTCCTCTTAAAACTGTCTATATGTCTATCTTTTAGCAAGAATTACGGGACGCGGACGACGTCGTGGGTAACAGCTATATTTTAGAAGATAGAGAGGAGGTGTGCAAAAAACGGTGGTGGCGAAAAATTCTACGCAGACGAAGTCGCTAGTTAGAAGCTAGTTAGAAGTAAACAGTAAAAACCCAACTATGAATTCCGCTCGTAACTTGGACGCGCCACTTAAATAAACAAGCCAATTACAAGACAGCTTATGTAGCTTTGATTTAATTAACATTGCGTGGTAATGAGCTGATCTTTGGCGAATGAGAGCGATATGAAGACACGTTTTAACGTATAATGAATCGAGCGTTTTTTTATAAGGCGTCGCGTCATTACGTGTTTCGGTTGCCGGCTGTTCTTTAAGGCTATCGGCGCGAAGCGAGGCGCCAGGTTGTTTAGGGCGAAGCGCCCCCGCGAACAAAACCGTTCTTTGTTAACGCCCGCGCGCGCTGCAAAAAGGCGAAGACGGAACACAGCGGCCGCTGCGGCTCGCCCGCGGATAAAATCGACATAGAATTAAAGAGAAATACAAAAATCACTCATTGTTCTCATAAAATGAATGTGCCGGGAGTTGAATGTGTGGCTTTTTGTGAAAATATTCTCATACTTTTAAATGCTGCTCGTGTGGCGCCTCCTATATATAATTCGTTCTTTTTGCTGCGACGCGCCGCGGCTGCTGCATGCTTAGACACTAGCCTTTCGGTGTGTCTGCGCATGTCAGTGCCGGCCTTTTTGTTGCGCTGTTGAGGATGTAAATTAAACAGTTTGGGCAGCATTGTTTCAGGACGGAGCGAAAGGAAAACTTTCATTATAGCATTTATTTTATCTACGCACTTAATAAATCCAAAACAATACTTTCAACTGAATATTGCTTAAACACTTAATAAACAATACTTTCAACTGAATATTGCTTTGTTTGTCACTGTTTCAATGGACTTTGGGGGGAGAGGGGGGACTAGAGAATAGCCTGGATATAATGTAACCGACGCTATACTATATCTATTGCTGATTATAGTCTAAGAAATACATTAAATATCTGTGCTCCTAATAAACTTAACTAACCACTAATAAAAAAATAAGCGAGCATTTTTGACGTTAGACTTTCGCAAATTCAGAAGCGAAATTTGAAAAATCACAACAACAACAGAGTGTCGTGTGGGTCGACAAAGTGTGATATGGTGTGACAAGGGATGGGAGGGGTTTTTTTCACATTTTAAAATCTAATGTAGTATGTAGGGAGGGGGGTCTCAGAAATGTGACCACTTATTACAACGAGTCTATCAAACATAGATAGAGTTAAAGGTCATTACTCTGCGCAAGAGCGTTCATTTGCTTAGCAGAGACATTGAAACGGAGGAGTATATGAATAATATGTTTGCCAGTCGAGTCGTGACATCAACCCCGTCCTTAATGGAGGTAGCTTGGATCGAGCGCAATCAAGATTTTGCTTAAACCACCTCTGGGTGCACATCTCATTTATAAAAAAAAACAATACGAGAATAAATAGATTCAATAGAATTATTTTTACTTATCCAAAATAAAATCGACAGCGTATCGTGTAGATATTATGTGACTTTGGTATTTCACCTCCCATCAAGTTAACTCCTTTTATTGTCTGTCCTCTGCCATCATTGCTACATGCATTGAAACATGATGCTACACAATACGATACAAATAGCTTTTTAATTATTTATTAAGATAGTAAGCAGACATATTTCTTAGTCCGTTTCACTGACCGAGTTTTTTTCAAGGCAAGTTTAATAAGACTTCTGTCCTTGACAACAATTTTTTAATTATGATTTCCGAGGATCCGAACCCTGGGTATAATCCAATGGCTTTAGGATTTGAGAAATAGAGGGAGTCCGTAAAAGAAAACATAATATTACTTGAAATAATACAATATCAACTAAGTCCTTTCTATTTGAGTGAATCAAAATAAATGTGTATTTATTTCTTGTTCTTTAATTTTGAGTTACAAGTCGGTAATTTTTGCTAAGAATGGTCTTACTTTTAATTTCACATTTATATGTGTGTGTACACACACACTCATCAATCATTCATCTTAACTAAGCAAGGTTATTTCATGATCAAACCTTATCAGCGCCTAACTGGTAAATACACATCCTATTATAATAGAAATTCAAACAGGAAACGGTCATAACATTCCTTTTTTAAACACGAGGCCACACAAGAAACCGGTAGGAACCAGAGTTTATCTCAAATTGATGGACTTAATCTATAAACGAGGCTTTGTCGCTTGTACCAGGTTTCAAATCAGAGATAACACTCGTAATATTAGGAGAGTGGCTGTGCCCGCAGTTTTGTCCGCTTTGAAAATCTGTAATAAAATTATAAAGCTGAGAGTTTGTTTGTTTGAACACGCTAATCTCGAAGTGGTTCGAATTGAAAGAAGGGGGATAAATTATTCAACTTTGACGGTTTCCGTTGCGAGCGCTGCGAAAGCGGTTCAAGAAAGCCAAAAAATTAAATAATATAAGAAATATTTATTCATCTTAAATGATGTAAAAAATGTCCGAGACAATATACGTCTATCTTTTAAGATTGACCTGGAAGAATGACGAGACGCGGACGACGTCGTGGGTAACAGCTAAAATTTGGATGGAGAGGTTTGCAAAACCAAATGATGATGCCCAATTACTATTCTATGCGGACGAAATCGCGTCCACAATAGTCGATTACAAATTAAAAAAATTACTCACGACTTCGGTCGCGACCCTTCCCGTCGTCTTGCAAGTTAATCTTAGAAGATAGACATATAGCGTCGCATATTTTTTTAAATCATTTAAAAAGGAATCAATCCTTCATACATATATTTGGGTATCTTGAACCGTTTTTGCAGCGTACGCGTCGGAAACCCATAATGATGAATAATTTTCCCAATTTTTGTTCACATTTCTCGCTGTATCTTCGCTTTCATTAGTCACAGGACGATGTTTTAAGCCTATAGCCTTCCTCGATGAATGCTCTAGCCAAGACAAAAAGAAATAATTCGAACATGTAGTTCCTGAGATTAGCGCGTTCAAACAAACAAATTCTTTAGATATATATATTAGTATAGAGTATAGATAGACTCTATACTTATATGTTGTTATTATCCATATCCAGCCTATAGAGTATAGATAAGAACAAAAGTTATTGATATTAATTGGTTCTGTACACCAATATCTCAATAGCTTAACATTCCTGTGTTCAGAGCCCCACTCCCGATTCCCCCCACCAGGTCAAACGTCACGTAATTCCGTCATTTCGCGTGACAATATCAACTAAGTCAAACAAAAACTTCGACATTGTTACCCTAATTTTCTCCACAGAATTTTATTATTTCACGTGAAAAGTTGGTACTTTACAAAATACCATTTCATTGGTATGAAATGGTATTTTGTATCACCACTAAACCATCAAATAAACATTCTTCATAAAAAAGTAAGCCGTATAAGCTTATTTTTTTTATTGCCATAACTTCTAACTTTAGTATTCGTGAATTAATTTAGTTTTACGCAGCGAACTCTGTTTGTGAGTTTAATTCAAAAGGTATTGATCCAGAATTATGAGGACACGTTGTCAATATAACACTAGTACCGGTTTAAAACGCGAAATATTTTGAATTCTATGGCTACTAAACAGATGGCGCCAGAGTTGCAGATTTGACTTTGACATTAGGAACAACATTTTCTATAGGTAGGTATGTTTATGATATCATTATAATTAAGTGTGACTATTTTTGATTTCACTCTGGCTTTAATGAATAAACATAAGGATCTTATGATCTGTCTGTGTGTTTGTTTGTTATTATTAGATCGCGTCTAGAAAGGATTTCGACTTTTCTTTTCGAATTTTCTTAAGAAAGGACTAAACCTTTCTTATGTAAGTATTGTCTGTCGTTTGCGAGGGAAGTAAACATTAAAATAAAACACTCATAACGGTTTAAATGCATTACGATAGCGCTACGACAGATCGGACTTTGACGTTAGGGACACCTTTCATCTTCAGTACCCCCTTGACCACAGCTGCTGCAAAGGCTGTAGTAAAAATAAATTAACTAATATATTTCGCGTTTAAACCCGTTTAGAGTGTCTCTTATTTATTTTATTTTCTTGCATAAAATAATGTTATAAAAATGTAAATTCCAGGGCCTTTTACATTTATATTTCAACTTTAATTAGAGGCTTCTGAGCTTTGGCACCAAAAAAATAATTGAAAAACAGTTTTTTTTATTTATTAATGTCTACTTCATACATTCAGTTGGAACCCATGACGCAAAAATACTTGCTAAATTGTAACAACGAGCCACGGACTTCCGTAGTTGCGTGGTGAAACGTATTGGGTGCTGGGTAGTAAGTACGTTTAGAACAAGAGGTCCTAGCTTCGAATCCTGGGAGCACTGGGAAGTCCTGCACATAGTAATCGAATAAAGGTAGACCGAGGAAGACTGTAAAAAATCCTAATCTTAGAGATCTGACGGAATTCTCCCACGTAAACGCCCCGCCATTATAACGTCGAACATTTTTGCCGAAAGTGGCTGTTAAATTTCTTACAGTTGCCATTTTATTACACTGCCAACTCGCTTAATATGCGAGGAAAAAATGGCCCACAAAAAATAGGCGCCACCAAAGAGAATCTCGAATCGATGTACAGTGCACTGACAATATTTGGGTCGGACGCAATAAATCGCTCCGCGCGATTTTGACGTCTCTTGCCCGTCATTAAAGTCGACAATCGTCCAAATATATAAGAGCCCCGACCATTATTCTTAAAGGTTGTTCGACAGTCGGTTGCTTATATTACCATGTAGTGCATTTTTTACGTATATCTTTTGTAGATTCGGGCTTGTGTTAAAATACACACCTAAATATCATTAGCTATAAACATGGTTCTTTGTATCCACCATTGAAAGAAATAAGGGCAATAAAGAGATGCGTTCGGTCAACAGATCAAAGTGTGAACGTCGATTTCATCACAGTGGTTCCGTACAACGTTATTTCATCATCCTGTTTCGTTGTAACGATTAATTCATTCTAAGAAGTACTAATAACTGCAGTAGAATACAAGATTTACAATAAAAATACTTCTTCAGACAAACTATATTCTTGTAATATATAGGTAATATTACATTAGCCACTTATACCATTCAGCTACGTTGGGACTGTCCCAACAATGGGAATATGTCATATGTCTTTTTTGTTTGTATACACGTTAACACTGATTATAATAACTGTGAAATTAGGTACATAATAGCTCACTTAACTTTCTTTATGAGTCAATATAATTCAATAAACATACAATGTTAACCTTACAAATACTCAATCAAACAATATTATTATTACTAGCATATAATTGGCCAATATCGCAAGTGAAGTTATTGCAATAAAAATAGTAAAGAAAGCACAAACGCGAGAACAAAACGTGCGCCCACGCATCAGACCTCAAATCCACTGGCGCCTTATTATGTTGGCTTTGTTTTCAAATTTAATTGGCCTCTCGGAGATAAGCTATCTTGATAATAAACGACTACCAATAAACGGTGCGATAGCTAGTTTTCTAACTCAAAAGATAAGGGACGGTTAGTAGCGGCACCGTACTGATTTGGCCGTGGACATCCGTAGATAAGTCTGACGTTATACCTGCTGTATTTAGCAGATTCTTTTAATTCAACCGATACGGAGACGAGGTTATGGTCGTACAATTAACATTAACCATAGATTATAAGCTGTTCTTTAATATTATAATATCTACATTTAAATTAGTTAGCAATGGTAATAAATAGATGTATGTGGAGGGACACCGCTCA